TCGAGACGCGCGAGAAAGAAAAACAGCTCGAATTGGAGACACGCACGAAGTAAGACAAGTGACATAGCAAGAAGCGTATGCCTTGTAGACAACTCTGAGGCGGTAGCCGTATAGTCATCCTGCGTAACACTTCCAGATGTAAGCAGTGGCACAGGCAAGATTGAGGAACATAGTTATCTCGCCTCAGCATGGCGCAATGATTACGTCATGTCAAAGTAAATATTGTAGCGTTCCGTTCAAAGAGCAGGAAACGACGACGAAATCATTGAGTTTGCAAAACTAAAAGAAGTTATATGAAGGAGCATGTGACTTGTTTGCAAGCCAAATAAAAAAAAACTCGGAGGGGTCTGTAGCAGCGTCTGTCTGCATGGCGCCAGCTGTAGTGACAGATGCCGCTGGCAGGGCTGATGTCCATGTGGATAAAATTCTGAGGCCGAAGTACAGGCAGATCTCTGATCGGAAATGTGCAAGGTTTTCGTTTTGCATTCATATGAAAGAAACAATCATTCTATTCGTCTGGTGTGGGATGCTATAATCTGAGAGTCGAGTTTAATAACCGGTCGCTACCTCTAGATTTAGACCATATGGACAAGGACACGCATAGTTTGTATATATTCTGGATTTAAAATACTAACTTCACAAGAGTTGTGATCTTCTTAGTTTTGGGCAGGATGTTGTAGCTTGGCTGTGAATTATCTAGTGGGCTTTAGTAGATTTTGTGTGACTGCGCAAAATGAGTGGATTGATTGTAAGATTGTAGTGAACATTGGGCACGATGTGTGTTGTGTGTGGTGAAACGCGCACTTATCTGCAGTTTTTTCATTACGGAAAAAACTTTTCGAAAGGGGGGCTTTGTGATGTGATTGCGCGCGTTTAAAAAGTGCGCCACTCCATCAGCCAGAAGAAGATGAAGATAACGCTTGGCTGCGGCACGTGTGGGCGTGAACATTTTTCTTCAATGAGGTCCTTCCACGGAGATTTCAATGCCCAATGGCTGGGTACCACGAAAGTACGGAATCTCCAATCGGGACGAGACAAGTGGGCCAGAGCGGCAGCAGAAGCCTGAGCAGAGGAGATGAAAGGGAGTTTGAAGAAGACGGGGCAAGCAGAAGGTCGTCACCGGACCGGGCGCTGAAGATGGGCCGTCGGGCGTCAGACCCGAGCCTGCAGGACTTCAACCGGCCGGGCTGCCGTCGTGTTCCCGCTCGAGAGGACCGTGGCCATCCGGTCCTGAACTCCTTCCTAGGACCTGCGGACTTTGGTTTCAACAGGCGAGCAACAGCCGTCGGGCTACGGGCCTGAGCTGTGCGCCCAGCTGCTTGGCCAGGTGGACCCTGGTTCGCTGACGCGTCGCCACCAGCCTGCGTTCTCTCGTCACCGACGGTTCCACAGTCCTAAAGTCAGGCAGACGTGGCCGAGTCAGGACGAAGTGAAGAAGGTGGCCAGGGCGTGGGAGTGGCGGCCAGCAGAGCTCCTGCATCAAGGTCTCAGCAGGCTCCCACCTGGACACAGAGCTTCTTCTCGTCACCTGACGTGGGCCAGGCTTGTTCTGGTCTTCTGGCGTTGGCCAAAAGAAAACGCCTCCGACTTCGTGTGTGAGCTGCGGCTGCCGAACGCCGGAAGGTCACTGACTTCAACCAGCCCGACGCTTCCTTCCGTGCAAGTCAACCTCGTGAGCGTCTCAAGCTAATCGCCAGTCTTTCCCCTGTTGCACGAGTGCGTGTTCACCATTACTCAGTCGCATCGGTTGCAAGCCCCGCATCACCACTGTCATCGTTTACGTGAGTGCGTCCATGCCTTCCTTGGTAGCACAGCCTTCGCTGCAAGCACCGCGTCCCGCTATGTTGTGACAAGGCTTATTTTACACCGAACATTTATGTCCATGCACTGCTCACGTCTTTAGCCGTTTGTTCTTCTCACTAACCTCTTTCTAGTTATGTATGCTGTGTTCTTTGTCTGCTATTTGTTGTTAGGGGTTTCTAAATATATTGAGTGTTGGGAATTAGGGTGGAAGCAAATGGTCTCGTCAGCTCTTTTCCCGATGATGGTTATGTCATCGGTGGTTTTTGCTTTACACGAACCTACACGAGAGCTTGCCCATTAAACAGCCTCGTGACAAAGAGCTTGTTTCACGAAAATTCCGCCGTCGGCATCGTAGGTTGCACGACTTAAAAAGTCAAGAAAGATGAAAATAAAATAACTAAAAACATTTCCCAGCATGAGTGAGGATCGAACACCGGTCGTTGGCATGGCAAACAGTTGTTTTACCACACAGCCATGCCTCTTTTTTGTTACTTCATTTTCACAGCCGTATCTCTGCTTGAAAATAAAGTAAAAATAACGTCCTCTGCTTGAAAATACATGGAAAGTTACTTTCATGCTTTACAAACACACTCGTCCTGTATACGTGCTGTAGAATACAATGTGTAATATCGCAGCAATAATATGTGGTACAAGTGTTAATTGCCATCAGACGTCAGAACATGTGATTATCATAATGATTTCATGGTATAAAGCTGGCCACCTACTACAAAAGTCACACATGCCACTGGGTCCATCCGCCCTAAGGGCACATAGTGCATACTTAGCAAGTTCGAAAATTATTTCACATGCATGATTGCCGAGGTTGAAAGCGTGCTACCCATCACACAGAATGAAGCCATGTTCAACAGCTTCATAGACACATCCCACAATTTATTGATCACACCTTCCAGACCATCGCAACTGGCTGCCCAACCCCTGCGGATGCAGGAGGTTGGCGAGTTGCAATGAACTGGAGGGTGCTATGCTCGGAAGAACGCCCCGCCGCGGTGGTCTAGTGGCTAAGGTACTCGGCTGCTGACCCGCAGGGCGCGGGTTCGAATCCCGGCTGCGGCGGCTGCATTTCCGATGGAGGCGGAAATGTTGTAGGCCCGTGTGCTCAGATTTGGGTGCACGTTAAAGAACCCCAGGTGGTCTAAATTTCCGGAGCCCTCCACTACGGCGTCTCTCATAATCATATAGTGGTTTTGGGACGTTAAACCCCACATATCAATCAATGCTCGGAAGAAGCAGCGATCGCACTTGCCTTCACATGCACTGATGCCCAGTACGTCCTTTCCGATTCAAAAGCGCAATTCGTGCGAGGCTGAGATCCATGAGACTGCTTTTGGCATAATCAGCTCACCCGCCAGAAACTCGGCCTGCCGTCATGTGGAGCTGATCTGGGTGCCTGCGCTCTGCGAGATTCCCGGCAACGAAGTTGCCAATGACTGCGCCGAAGCTCTCACCAACCGACCGGCAGTGGAATACAAGGAGCGCATGTATTCTTTCAGCGAGATAACTGAAGCACCTCATCAATCTCTGTACAATTTTCATCGGATAATGAGGCTCGAGACTTTCCCTCCCCCTATTTTTTCCAGTAGAAAGCATACACGTGCTCAATGCACTCACCCCCATGCTACCCACATCCTCCCCCGCGGGGCCACATAGGAGGAAGTGGCGACCCTGCTGCGCTCCACAGAAAATTGCCACTGACCGGGCCGCCCATGTCATGCAACTATACATGAAGTCATGAACGCAGTTGGGTAATGTGGCGACCCTGGGACATACTTGCCCGAATCCTCCTTGATTTAAACTTTTCAACCTAACATCACACAATAAAAATTACGCACTAAGTTGTTGAACTGCACACTAAGGACAGGATTTCGCTATCAGGTTAAACTCTTGAACGCTAAGCAAAAGGGTACCCCAATTTTCGTATTGTCAATCTACTCCCGGTCAGTGTGCCCCGCATTTCGACAAGGTGGTCACTACATTGGCAGCGCCGGCAAAACGATAAAAAATTAATGTATACAAACGTTTCGCAGGAAGCTCTTAAAACCGAGTCGATACTCTATAGGTACGTTACAAAAACGGGTGAGCTTTAAACCTTGTATCTGATAATTTCTAACTGCTTTTATTATTGGGAAATTATCATCTGTAGCTGCTGCTGACTATGTACGAAATGTGTCCAATATCCTACCCTCATGACGCGGAAAAACTGTGCTGCCCTTTTGTCGCCAATTATGCAGCATGCTTGCCTGTACGAAAAAAAAGTGCTCCCTGTGACACGGCTTTTGCACACAATGGCATGAATTTCGAAAAGTGACAATATCGTGTTTGTGTATAAGTGTGAGAGCTAGCGTTCGTCCACCTTATTCAGGCCTGTAGCCGGGGGAAGAAATCGGAGCCTGTTCGATTTGTACATCGGAGCCTGTTCGATTTGTTCGCGAAAAGAGGGGACGAGATTAGGTTCTCGATCATCAGGCGATGGAAGACGAGGAGGTTCTCTGGAATCAAGTGCACGGGCTAAGGCCTCGTTACCGACCAGTCCTGCGTCAGTCCAGATGACTAAACGGGTGGTTCAGGTGATAACAACCCTTCGAACAGCACGAATGGTGATGCAACCTTTCGTAAGATTTCAGCACACACTCCGTGAATCAGTAATGCTCCTAGATATACGGGGTCTGCTGTGGCGACAAATATGGCGACTTCTTCCGAGTGAGTAATGTCCGGGGCTCTAAAAGGGAGCCCTTGAGCAGGCACGTTTGGATGGACTACGGCTGCCGTGTACCGCCCACCTGTGGTGAGGGCCAGACGCATCCGTGTAGAAGACTCATAAACGAGACCCATATCCGCTTGCGGATACTTTGCATGTAGTGTGGGCATGCCCATCTAACCTGGCAGTTCCATTAATCACTTCCCTTTTACCCTCTACCCAAGAGAGCTAGGAGGCTACCCTGCTCAGCTTTGGAGGGTCAAAACCCCTTGTGGCTAGGGTTCGTGCCACCGCGGTAGCCACAGGGGTCCCGGATTAGGGTCTTCCCCTAGATTTTGTAGAGGGTCGGCCCTTAAGGCCGCCGCTCCATCTTTTCTGTAAATAGTCCAAATAAGTGTTTTTCACCACCACCACCAAAAGTGACGGTAAGTAGGCATAAACTAGAAAGCGGTTGCATAGCCCACTTAATTGTGACTTGCAGTGGAACGTGCCGATGGTAATGTTCTGCTGGAAGATCGGCTCCGCCCTGTGCACGGGAAACACAGTGATCGTGAAACCTGCAGAACAGACGCCCCTGACGGCGCTGTACACGGCCCGCCTGGTGGTCGACGCCGGCTTCCCTCCGGGGGTTGTCAACGTGGTGCCCGGATTTGGGGAGACCGCAGGCGCTGCCCTTTCCAAACACATGGACGTCGACAAGATCGCCTTCACCGGATCCACCCAGGTACCGATGTCTCTGCTCGCTTTGACCCCCTCCCCAACTGTGTCGCAAACTGGGGGGTTGCTGATTACCTTGATGTCACCTAAATGATGTCTTTTTGACATGTTGTTGGTCTCATTCTGCATGCCTTTTACCTCTCTTTCTCTCTTTGAACGAAGAGACAGCACTGCTCGAGCGCTGTTTCTTTGCTTGCAATTGGTAAGTATCAACCAGTCCAATTCAGCACGCTTTTGTCATTGTGAATGACATTCTGAACAGTAAAAAATGATAAACGGACAAAAGAAGAGAGCACATACAGGCGCAGACTAACTACTGAAGGGTATTTTCAGAAAAACACATATGAGGGAAAGGTAAAAACGCGTGGTTATGATTACGGGTTGGGGGTTAAGTAATCTATCTCAAGTTTATGTAGGCTCACTGATGGCCGTGTCACACGTACGCCACCATGCTTGTGCATGAAATACCCAAGCAGCAATTTGTCCTCGGCAAGAGGTCGGCGAGAGGTCTGTGACTGACTGCGAAGTGGTTGGTTCGACCTTAGAAACCGACGTAATGCCGGTCTTGGTATTGACATTGGCTTCACGCTGGCCGACATCGGAACACAACGTAGGCCCGACCCTGTTGGCTGACCAGCCCGAGTGCGTGCTGCATGCGGGTTGACCATGGCCTGACCTTAAATAAGCGTCGATTTACGGATGGTTGCAGGTTGGTAGTCAACGTTTCGTGCTCTGCTTTTTTTTTTGTATTTCATGCACATTACATTGGCTCAGGGCACATGTAAGACGAAATTGAACGCCTCTAAAGTCTGCACTTGTTAGCGCGTAAGTACGTAACACGCAATAAAAGAAAGACGAACAAAAGCTGCGTCACTCTATATGTTAATTCTGCAGTTGTATAAATGCACTATGTTTTTATGCCGTTGCTCGCATAGAATGATTTGCAGCAGGCCTTGTGCAACCCAACTATACAGTTGATGGAGTGGTATTCCTGCTAGATCAGTTCTCTCTTTCGGTCGATTTTCATGCTCTTGGTCATGAATACGTACTCAGTGTGCCACATTCTACCACCGAGATGTGAGGCTTGTATCGTTCTGTTGCCGGGGAAAGCTGAAGAGAAAAGAACAGAATGATTAATACTTACTTGAAAGGCAGAATATTTAGATGACTAGTTGCACAGTTGCGTGCATTTTTAAGCTCTATTCGCACGATTCAGCAAAACAATTTTGGGGATATTGTCACGGGTATGGAAAGGTACCTCAGGCACGGGTGCAGAAATGACGCAGAAGGAATGAATACGACGATGTTGTTGTGGGGCCATGTCTGGACTGCCCTGTTGTACTGAACCCTTGCATACTGTGTGCAGTGTTAGCCCACCCGGCGTTCACTTATTAAATACTCCCCGTTACATATTTTGGTAGAGGTGCTGGGCAACATTCCGACTCTGGATCTCCGTACTGGACGTCAGCTTCCTCCAGCCACGATGCCTGAAGGCAGTGTGCTGTCCCTTCAGTCTACGCCTGCTCCGTCACCTGTGATCCCTTCCCATCTTCTCGATCCAGGTACATTTTGCGGCACCGACACAACTGACGTTGACGAGTGGCTCGCCTTATACGAGCGCGTCAGCAAGCAATACAGGTGGGATGAGACGCTTATGCTGGCCAACATCATCTTTTACCTGCGAGGTACTGCACAGGCCTGGTAGGAGACGCACGAGGAAGACCTGACGAGTTGGGACGTGTGCAAGCAGAAGCTCCGTGACTTGTTCGGCCGGTCAGTTGCTCGACTAATGGTAGCCAGGCAGGAACTCGCGTCACGAGTTCAATATTCCACGGAGTCGTACGTCACCTATATCCAAGATAAGCTCGCCTTGTGTCGGAAGGCCGACGAAGACATGACCGAACTTGACAAGGTCAGCAATGTGTTGAAAGGCATAGCCGACGATGCCTTCAACATTCTGATATGCAAGAAGTGTACCACCATTGACTCAATCGTGAGTGAATGTCAGCGGTTCGAACAAGCCAAAAGCAGGAGAATCACTCAACGTTTTTCCCGACTCCCGAACATCGCTGCAACTTCTTCCTGCGAGGATCCTGTGGCACCACGTTCAATCGTGAATCCTCCAAACATCATAAGAATTGTCCGCCAGGAGCTGGAAGCCATGGTTCCTTCCGCTTATCAACCCCCTGTGCCTGACAATTCGGCTTCAATATCTCTTATTCAGGCTGTTGTGCGATAAGAGTTTGCCAAAATGGGTGTCTTAGTTCCCCAAAACTCCAGCCACACACCACAGCCCATAAATCCTAATGCTCACTACCACGCCGCCCCACTTGTTGCTGCTGCCGCGTCGGTCCCGTGGTTCTCATCGTGCTACCGGAATCCATCTGAGTGGCGCACACAAAATGATCGACCGATATGCTTCTCTTACCATCGCGTTGGCCACATTTCCCGCCACTGCCGTAACAGATGGCCTTTTCGGCAATGTTTTCTAGACGACCACATTTTCTAGACGACTTGGTGTTATTATCAATGGCCTGACCGTTACAGCTCTAATAGACACTGGTACCCATATATCCGTTATGAGTTCACGTCTTCGATCCCGCCTGAAAAAAAAGTTCTTACCCCTGCCATGTCTTCGACAGTGCGAGTAGCCAACGGCAGCCGAACATCAGTTCTTGGTATGTGCACTGCCCACGTCACTGTTGTGGGCCTTCACACTTCAGTCCTCCTCGCTGTTCTAGACGCTTGCCCACACGACGTAATTCTTGGCATTGACTTCTTGACCGCGCATTCAGCCCTAATCGATTGTTCAACCGACACTTCACAGCTAGAGTTACAGCCTTTGTATTCTGATGTCCCTCCTACAGCTCGCACACGGCTACGGTCCGTGGAGTGTCTACTATTACCGCCTCAGGCGGCTGTGTACCTTCCTATGTCGCCGTTCGCACCTGTTCCTGATGGCGACTACTTGGCAGCTCCACTCATTGACCTGACCCTTTCCCTGAACGTCATTCTTCCTCATACTATAGTGAGGATTAGGGACAACAAGACGCTTCTTCCTGTCCTCAACTTCTCCATGTCGACCCAGGTCGTTCCTCAAGGTATTGCCTTAGTAGAACTCTCCACCCTGGAGCAATGTACAATTTCGTCTCTCACTCCTGACATCAAGACTGTAGCTGAACCTGTCGCAGCCGCACAGAATAGAGCTTTCCTAGACAAAATGATACCAAGCAACCTGTCGCTGTCCCAAGCTGAAGCGCTCCGTGGTCTTTTATTTTCTTACCTCGACATTTTTGATATCGACGACTGTTTTTCGGGCCGCACGAGTGTCGTAGCCCACCGTATCAACACTGGCGACGCCAGTCCCCTTTATAAGCATCCTTACCGTGTGTCTCGTTTAGAGCACCAAATAATCCAGAAGGAGGTAGAGAAAATGCTCGACAATGACATCATAGAGCCTTCAATCAGTCCTTGGGCATCACCTGTTGTGCTTGTTAAAAAAAAGGACAAGACCTGACGGTTCTGCGTCGACTATCGCCATCTCAATCGAATAGCCAAGAAGGATGTCTATCCTCTACCTCGAATTGATGATGCGTTTGACTGCCTCCATGGTGCCAAGTATTTCTCTTTCCTGGACCTACGATCTGGATATTGGCAAATTTCAGTCGATGACCGCGACTGCGAGAAGACGGCATTCATGACACCCGACGGGCTTTATCAATTTAATGTCATGCTTTTTGGGTTGTGCAATGCGCCAGAAACTTTTGAAGGCATGATGGACTCCCTCCTTCGCGGTTTTAAATGGTTGACGTGCCTGTGTTATCTAGACGATGTCATCGTTTTCTCGCCAACCTTTGAAAGCCATTTTCCACGTCTGTCGGCCATCCTTGACGTTCTTCGCTGTGCTGGCCTCCAGCTTAACGCGTCCAAGTGCACCTTTGGGCACCGTCAGATAAAGCTACTTAGCTACCTTGTTGACGCTGCTGGTGTACGATCCAACCCTGATAAAGTCCGCGCGGTGCGCGAGTTTCCGGTCCCACGTTCCACGCAAAAAGTCCGCAGCTTTTTTGGGACTCTGTTCATATTTCCGCCGTTTTGTCAGCAACTTCACGGAAATTGCTCGACCCCTCACGGATCTCCTCAAAAAGAACGCTTTTCCTGGCTTTTTCCTGGCTTTTTCCTGGCTTGAAGACCAAGAACATTCCTTTGCGTCGTTGATTTCTGCGCTCACATCACCATCTGTGCTGGCTCATTTTGACCCAGCCGCTCGAACGAAGCTGCGCGCCGACGCAAGCGGCCATGGCATAAGGGCAATACTCGCACAAATGCAGAACGGCACAAACCGTGTCATAGCGTACGCTAGCCGCCTACTTCTCAGATGCACGGACGCATCGTTTCCTGGGCATAATAATCGACAGAAGTCTTTCGTGGAGCCCACATTGTGCGTACTTGAAGAAGATACTGCTATCTATTGTGCATATTATGAAATTCTTGTGCGGTAAAGCATGGGGAACTTCTGTGGCCTCCATGCTACAGCTGTACAGGGCCCTATTTCTGGGTCTATTGCGCTACAGCTTGCCGGTACTGACTAACACTTGCAAATCGAATACTCATTCATTGGAGAGTTTGCAGGGTCAGGCACTGCGTATCTGCCTAGGACTGCACCGATGCGCTTCTACTTACGCCACAATCATGCTTGCCAAAGACCATCCGCTCAGGATATATATAGTTGTGGATTGCCTCAGAGTGCACATTAGACATGCTAGCCGTGTCCCCGACCACCACTTGGCCCTTCTACCTTCCGGAAGACCACGTGCTACTTTTTCAGACGTCATAGCCAAGCACCTAAACAGCATTCCATCAGGATATACGCCAGCTGCGAGAACGGCATGCCCTTTGTGGTGCCTCGACCAGCCGCAAGTACGTCTAGAAATTCCGGGAATCAAAAAGAAAAGCAGTCACTCCAGAGTAGCATTGAAGCAAGCAACACTGCTATTATTACATGAG